TAGGTGAAGTCCCTATTCTCTGAACTGTCATTTTATCATGCACCCATCTTGCAAGGTTGTCTTCTTCAAACTCTGCTTTCATCAGGTCACTCTCTTAGAAACACTTTCTCTTTCCTGTGTCATCTAAACTCCTGGGCCTGGCATGGAAGGCCCTTCATCAGCAGGGTCCACAATCCCCATATTTTCTTACCAAATATCTCATTATTCTTCAGTATACCCTTGCTCTACCCAAATCAAGGAAAACTTTCCATCCCACATGTACCTTAATCATCCCCTTTATGTGTTGTTTTTTTTTCCCTCCACAACCTTAAATTCTCTCCTTTGTCTTTTACACTGGCCTATGATAATCACTGGCCATGCTTCTTACTTCTATCTTTGGCCCTATAATGACTGCAAGGCTATCTATCCTGAGACAGCAAAATTTCTTCTACTTCTCATATAAACTGTTTTTGGATTTTCCTTGAGTATCTCATGCTTAGCAGTCATTAAAGGTAATTTCTATATATTGCTGGCAATCCCATATCATTAATCAAATAAATTGTGAACCTAGATGTAAATAAACTATGCATAACCTTAGAAGAATAAATGACCTCTTAAATTGCTCAGTTTATCCATGAATTCAACAAACACTCATTGAGCCTCTATCACATGACTGGTGTACTATGCCAGCAACTGAAAATTAAAAAGATATTTTAAAACCCTCCTCAAATAAAAATATGTTCAGTAGTTTGAAAGGCTGCTCTTAAAAATTATTTCCTCATCTCTAAACTGGCACCATCATTTTTTTTGAATCTTGACTATCATTGAGTCATTTGAATATCAACTTTTTATATCTAGGAAGTCTTATCTGGGTAGTTAAAAGAATCTCATTGATCAAGCATTTATTGAGTACCTACTATGTGCTGAGTAAATGAAGGAATGAGCTCCATAATGGGGGAATTTTTTAATCATACCACATCTTACTTTAGTGTATCCTCTGTCAGAGGAAATACATTTTATTTTATTTAAAATGTTGACAAAGCACTTATGGATATGGAATGCTTGCTTTTAGAACTAAAAATCACTCTGCTTAGTTGGTAATGTTGTACTTAGTTAAAATTCCAAGCACCATCCATATAATAACAGAGATCTAAATATCAACTGTTTCACCCTCAAAGGCAAAAAACCTTACCCACTTTCTACCTCAAAATCATAACACTCTCTAGAAATAAGTAAGTGTGGTTTTCTTAACTTCTAAAAGAAAAAAAAAACAAAACAAGAATGCAGTACTTGTTTGATACAGTTGAGCTGCTTACATAATTAAAATTCCAACTAAATATCATGGAAAGAAACCCTTTGGGTATAAAACATGTTCTTAAAAATGAAAATATTGCCATTCCTCGGTGTATCTTATTACAAATTAATTATTCTGGTAAGTTTCTGAACTCATTTCTTTGTAGTTTCTTGGTTCAAGTCTGTTGGTTTTCCTGACCTTAATTTCTTCATCTAATTTGCCATGTGGTCTCTCAGCAGCAATAAATGTGGAGAGCCAGTCATCTACGGACTCCCTGTCCACCCCACAGACTTAAGTCATACATTCAAGTGTTTTGGCCAGAAACGTCCCAGCTGCTGCCTATTAATATCACATTTCTCTTCTATAATACATGTATAATGGACAAATTCTTTTCATCTCTCAATAGCTATGTATTAATACTCCCTAGAGTGCTTATACTCCTTTAGAAGTTTTCTCCTATCTAGTCTTGCTTACTAATATGCCTCTGGACTCTTTTGAGTTTGTTATCATGTGATCTTTGTCTTTATTAAACAAGTTAATATTTAGGATGCAATGCATGGTGTCACGGAGCTATCAAATGTATGCCTATACATAGCTGTCACTGTTCCCTCTTATGCCTCATTGTACAAAAGAGCATAACAGCTGTGCAGCCCACATTTCACAGTTTCCCAGATTCTCCCTGTGTGTTTCAGACAAGCATCAATGTGTTTTATCTCTGTTCCACCTATTTTCTCGAGGTTCTCCATGTCCTTCATCAGCATGGCATGTAGGGCCACATCCCCACCAGGTGAGGCAAACTAAGGAAGCCAAAATATTGGAGATGTCCTCCTACTCCCAGAAACCTCTCTGGCAAAGCATCATGATTAGTAGAACATGTGTTGAAGCCAAAAAGAAGTATTTTCAAAAGATATTTTAGTAAGAAGAGACAAAATAAAATTTCCTATATCATCTGTCTAGGGAACTACACAGCATCATTTCTAATCCCCTGTTTCACACCCAGACACCTTGCCTTTCTCTAGTATCTACAATTTTACAGATTTCAGATCATAAAGAAATTCCCATTGATCAAGCATTTATTGAGTACCTACTACTAGTCCACTTATGTTTACGCTTCAATGGGAGGTCTTGAGTCCACTGGGTACCACAAACAGTAATTCTAGGCTACTATTGGAGATTATCTCATGGGGATAATGAAATATATTTTACTCTGTTGTGTCACATCAGATTTGGGGGAAAATACTTGGGACAGTCCCTGACACTAGAAGTTTGGCTCCTGTTTGTACTTCTGAAAGTATTTGGCAATTCAATTTAAACCATTTTACTGAAGCTCATGGAGAAATCTCTGGGTATTTGGTTGTGGTTTACTTAGAGGGTTTTTGAGCTGCTTATTCTTTTAAGAAAAATTTGGTTTGCTTCAATTTTAATAATTCTAAAGCATTTTTTTAAAAAATCATCTTTCTTTGTCAGAGACTAAGCTATAATGTTTGTAGCACTGTTAAGGAAACTGTTCATTAATTTCAAAAAAATGTATCTTATATAAACAAATTGCTATCCATTTGGCATAAAAACTTTGGAAAACTATTCATCTTTCCAAGAGAACAATGTCCACATTGAATAAACCACCTATAGCATAAAACTTGTGGATAGCAGTATACGTAATATAATTTTTTTACTCATTAAACAATTTCCTTAGCACTGTTGCAAACTTGGCCTTTCAAAAAGACACGTGGATTTTAAAAATTTGTTTTAGAGTTGTTAAAATTGAGGCAAACTAAAATCTTACTTAACAGAAAAACTAGCTCAACTACTCTTTAAATAAACTATAACCATAATATCCAGAGGTTTTTCAAACAACTTTGGTAGACTGGTCAAAAGTGAAAGGTTGATATAGTATAGTGTACATAGAACACAAATAGCTACTACCTTCTAAACATAGGTTGTTATAGAATAATTGAGGATATTTTCCATGTGAATAATTTTAGGATTCCACATTATTTGTACATAGCTATAGAAGACATGGTAATAAATCTACTGTTTGAGAAAATATCTGAGTGGTTTTCCTTTTGGAAGTCAACTCTTCCTTAGATCTTATCTTCCAAGTGTGACTCAATGACTGACAGAAAGGGATCCCTCACTATTTTCAGATCCATTAAGTAGGTCACTAAGTCTTATTAACATTTTCCATTCTTAAACCAAAAAATTACCCTGTTTGAAAAGCTTTCTAATGTGTTAGGGTCTGTAAACAAGTCAGGATGGCACCTGGCATTTTGCCAGAGGGAGTGGTTTGTGAAGTACTGCCAGCAAGCCATTAAGTGTGGAGATTCCTTATTGGTTGACTGCTGTATGGAGTTTATGTTAATTAAGATAAGCTGTGTGGAATGTATATATACCCCTCGTGTCCTACAATAAACAGCTCCCACTCCTGCTGTATCAATGTACACAAGTTGCTGGTCACCCCCCGGTTATTTTGCTGCAGCCGGACTGTGGCACTAATGGTCTTCATGCAGCATTCTGCCAAGAAACTCAGCTGCTGTACATTGCTTGTAAAGTCCTACCAGACACATCCCTTCAGATAGTTGAGGTTCTGGAAACTTTTTGGTAGACTTATATGCTAGTAATGCTTATAGCATTTATGAATTACAGCTTTTACTTACTGATGTTCTGTTTTCACTCTAATTCTATATTACTATTAATTTGCCTTATGATTATCATTTTTTGTAGCCTGCTTGGGGTTTCTCCCCTATATGTATTGATGACAGTTATTTCATAAGTATATAAAATGGCTCAACATTGATAATCATTAGAAAAGTCCAAATAAAAGTCATTATGGGATCACATACATCAATCAATATGGTTAAAACTGAAATGAAAGGTAATACCAAGAATTGACTTGAATATAGAACAACTAGAAATTGAATATATTGCTGGTAGGAGTATAAAATGGAACAATGATTTTGGAGACATTTTGGTCAGTGTTTGCAACACTTACTGCACCAGAGATGAGCACTTGTGTCCACCAAAATATAAACACAGAACTTCATAGAAGCTTTATTCACAATATCCCCAAATTGGGATCAGTTCAAATGTCCATTACCAAAAGAAAGGATAAACAAATTGTGCTAAATTCATATAGAAATATGTATCAGGAAATGCAATATAAAAGAAATACCATATTTATTTTATACAGCAGTGAAATAGTACAAACTATTGTTGAAAAAACTAACTAGGATGAACCTCACAGATATGTTGTGTGAAAGATGTTAAACACAAAACACTATATACTATGTGACTCCATTTGTATAAAGTTCAAAAACAGGTAAAACAAATCTATTTTGATAAGGAACATAATAATGATTATCTCTATGGAGTTGTCCAATTGTTGGAGGCCTGGGAAAACTGTCATAATGTACTAAAAATAGCCTTTATTTTGATCTGAACAGAGAATACCTGAAGTGTGTGCATGTGCGTGTGTGTGTGTGTGTGTGTGTGTGTGAATTCATTGCATTTAAGATGTGTGCATTTTACTGTTTATAACATATAGTTTGATTTTAAAAAAAAA